ATATCTCAATTTAAACATTTAATGTTTTATATTTTGCAAGCAAAAGCAGAGATATAAGATGCACTGGGATACTCTAACATCAACACACTGGTGACAAAAAAGCTTAACTTGTAAATTATCTCTTAAAAATGCTATCTGTTTTTATTTGCAGGCTGGTACGGGAGGTGACTGGGGTAAACGTCAACATGTGAGTGGCCATCCACAGTGGCAGAGTGCACTGTGGGGTGCTGGGGCTCAGGAAGTGGCAGTTTGATGTCTGGTCCAACGATGTCACGCTAGCAAATCAGATGGAAGCTGGGGGCCAAGCAGGGTACGTCTCTCCAATGATGTTCAAGTTCAGACTGCCCTACTCTAAAAAAAAGTTGGGATGTTGTGTAAAACTTAAAGAAGAAAAATAATTGAATCATCTGCAAATGTGATAAACCTGTTTATGTTGAGAAAATGTGGCATGTGCCAAAGTATTAGTTCATTTAACATTTGTTAGGAGCAAAACATCTAAAAACATTTACCACTGTGTAGCATCCCCTCTTCTTTTAACAACCGTCTGGGAACTGAGGAGGACCAGCTGGATTTTACCGGCAGAGATTAAGTATTTGGAACTGAGTGCTGATAACAAGGTGGAGCGTTCCTCTCCTCTTTCGCCGAGAGGATGTGGTGTCACTGTTTTCCTAAGAGAATTTCAAATTTTGAGTCACCCGACCACAGAACAGTCTCAGTACATTTTTAAGAGAAGACAGCAGTGTTTCTGGATGTTCATATGTGGCTTCTTCTTTGTGTAAAAACACTTTAGCCAGCATGTATTAATGGGACAGGGAAGTAACAATGCCTCCTAAGCCCATGCAGTGATTTCATGGTTGTTTTTAATGCAGTGCTGAGACCTGGAGATTGTAGGCATCCAATATGGATTTTTGTCTTTGTCCCTTGCACACAGAGATTTCTTAAATTTTTTTTGATGATATTGAGTACTGTAGATGATTAGATGTTCAAAGTCTTTGCAATTTTACGTTAAAATACATTTTTCTGAAATTCTCAATTTGGAGACTGACTGCAATTAAAATGCTTAAATATGTGCACATAGCAGACAGAGGTGGGGCAAATGAATAAATGGATGATTTCCAGATGCAGTTTTAGTTATATTTGATGTTCCATATACAGGGTGGGTCATTTATATGGATACACCGTAATAAAATGGGAATGGTTGGTGATATTAAAGTCCTGTATGTGCCCCATTAGTATATGTGAGGGGGCAAACTCCTCAAGATGGGTGGTGACCATGGTGGCCATTTAGAAGTC